AATGGCAGGACCTCTTTGAGCAGTTTTGTAGGAATGGGGTCTAAAAGACACGTTGATGGTTTGGAGGAAGTAATTATTGAAGTTAAAGTCTAAATGAATATCAATGGTACTAAAAGTAGCTGTAGATAATATTACATCTGTGAGATGGGTAATTTTTTCTCTAATGATAAAAATTTTATTTGTGAAGAAGTTCATGAAGTGAACTAATTAACGTTAAAGGGATGGTTGGTTTCTGAGTTTTACAGCTGGGGTGGACGAGGCTAAGCATCAGGCTTTCAAATGAATTAAAAGTCTGTCTTGGTCTTTCGCTGATTAATAGGCTGGTTTAATAAATTTGTCCATATTTCTAGAAATGAGAGCTGCTCCATCAAAAGTGGGATGGATGCCGTCTCTCCTAACAAGACCAGGTTTCCTCCAGAAGGTTTGCCAATTATCTACGAAGCCCACATCGTTTCTGGGACACCACTCAGACAGCCAGCAATTTAAGGAGAACATGCGACTAAACATGCCACATTTTAACACATGAATTTATTCCTGCTGGAGATTATCTACCTGTGTCATCAGTCTCTATAGAAAATCAGTGTCACTGAGAAAAGTCCAAAGTGCTCTATCAATAAGGACTCAGCCCTGATGAAACTTAAAGAGACACTAATGGATGGATGTGTACACATGCACGTCCATAACAGAAACTATACAAATGTTAAAAGCAGGTGTTTTAGGGTCCCCTCAGGTGCAGTCAGTTGAATGCCTTTTCCCACTATCAGCTGTTTACTCTGATCTCTGCTGGGCAGCTACTGCGCTAAGAACACCAGCCCACAAGTCTATATGTTTTGTGTCAGTACTGATAACAGATTGATAGAAATGTGCCCAGAGCTGCAGCGCTGGAAGTTAATTTTTAATACGATTCAAAGAGGAAGTGGCAGATAACAAGGACTTCATGATCTCAGTGTTCTGGATTTAAACCTCTGGGTGCTCTGAGGCATTTCTGTGTGGAGTTTGAATGTTCCTACTATGCCGGAGAACACACTTGTTCGGTTTACTGACAAATCTAAATGGACTGTAGTTACTAGAGGGTGTTTTTCTCAGTTCTAGACATGAGGGCTAGCGACCTGTCCCGGGTGTCCTGACAGCTGGGATAGTTTCCATCACCCTGCAAGTTAAGAAGCAGTTAAGAAAATCCATGAACTACATCAAAAATCGATGTCGTTCAAAGAGAAATGATTCCATGACTTTCTTACACAAGTTTTTATAATTTCTTTTAACAAAACTGCAATTTATTCTCAAGTAAATCCTCTACACATTTTAATATTCCAGAAACTCCAACTAATGAAAAAAATTTGCAGAAGAAGCCTGGACAAGGTAGTCTAAATTAATCCATTAGTGACAACGCTCAACTCTAAAATGATTACCAGCAGCTGTAAAATTAGGTTTAATTTGACTTTCCGTGCTTTTTACTTTAAATACCCCTCAAAAAATGTGAGAACGCATCTGAATTGTCACTTAGCGCACCCGCATGTCACTATCACATATGACTAAGTGCAATTTAATAAGAGCAGAAGGGCTCACTGTATGTTCTGTGCAATTAACCACCAAAACTGTTCCAGGAATCGTATTTTCACTTCACAGCGATTCACTCAACTTTATCATTTATGACGGACACACTGTACTTTGGAGCGAGCTGGGGTTGCGAAGGAGCTCCGAATGACATCTGATCTCTTTGTGGGGGCATCCTTTTTCAAGCTGAGGAATCAAAGACCACCAATGTGTTACAGCTCTAATGTGGTCAGAGGCAGGGGAAGGCGGTGGGGAGAGAATCTGCAGATTGGCTCAGAGGCACACTTGAAATCTTGATCCTCTCCCACTGCGTCCATGCTGGCAGATGGGAGAGAGCAGAGCTCAACTCCCCCGATCGACTCCTGCACTTGCCACACACTGAGCTAACACCGACAGCGTTTATCATTCTCTCTTCACTGTCGATGGCCACTTTCCGCTTTCCCCCGTTCCCCCTCGCCGCGTTCCCCTTTTTGGCAGGCGGGATTAAGTTTAATGGTATTGTGTGTGACAGATACGGAGTGAGGTTTGGCACTAATTTGAGGCAGAACACGCACAACCATTTTATGGTTTCTTTCCAACTCGCTCTGTGACATGTGGTGGTGACACGTTTGACAAAAACCATCCAAGGTGAAGGACTGGGTGGGGCCCTCTGTGCGTGTGGGTTGAAAGTGAACTCACCCTGAACGGCACCTTCTTTCGTCCCACCCAGCACCACAAATAATCCAGTTTCTCTACAAGCATCATTGGCTGATTTTAAAAACTGTGTGGTTTGCAGTCTGAGGGTGTTTATGCTGGTTTTATGGTCTCCTCTGCAGCGGTGACACCCCGGGGCCACCTACTTGCAGTAATCTCATAATTAGCTGAACGGTTTTGAAGGAACATGCCAAATATGTGTTACTTGTTGCTTTGAGGCCAGACAAACAGAGGTGTCGGCTGCGAGCAGAAAAGGTCCATTTTACTGAAAACTGGATGAATGAGCTGAATAATGCTTGAGCGTGGTGGGTAGATGCATAATCAGTTTGGTGTGTGCTTTAAGGGGTGCTGTAGGGAGGCTAACTCATGACATAAACTTATTTTAAAAAGAAAGAAAAGACTTTTTACCAGCTCATGCTCATCCATCAGACAGATGCAGCCTTAAAGCAGGATTTGTGTGTGTGGGTGTGAGTGTGTGTCTAGCCTAGTGAGCAGACCACCAGGCCTCTAGACACGGACCCCGTCTTTGAGCTTAATACAACTGATTGCACTCTGATCAGTCCTGGTAATAGTTAAGGCTTCAAAGACACAGCCTGTGAGGCTGCCAGCGGTTATTTCCAACCCTGAGATCTCAGTCCCAACCCTCGGTACTGTAAGCAACAACCAACACTAAAAGGGAAAAAAGTGCTAAGCTTTAGTTGGTAGCTACTCTTTCTTGCATTTCTCGTGTACTTTCATTTGCTTTAACCCCAGTGTTACATGTCTCGGTGTCGGTTATTTGTCTTTTGGTTGTTCCCTCGTTTTCTTTGATAGATAATTTTCTGTTGATTGTCCCGTTTTTGTTTTCCCTTCCTGTCTTTGTCTCGTGCCTTTGTCGCTCTGATTGTCTCCACTTGTGTCTGATTACTGTCACCTGTGCCTCATTCCCCACCTGTTTCTCATCCCCAATCAGTCCACTGTTTTCATGTTTTGTTTTGGTTTTTTGGATCGTCTGTTGTGCTGCCCTTGTGGTCTCGTGGGGCCTTTACTCCAAAGAAAAGTTCAACATACCCAGGATATCGTTCCCTTATCTGGATTTTCTTTTCCTCATTGGCAGTGAGGCTAAACGGTCACACAAAGCTTGATAAATCAAACCGGAGTTTTCCAATCTAGGTGCAAGTGCACTCACATGAAAGAGGTCGCGTCTACTGACAGCAGAACAACTGATTTTACAAAAAGAAGATAAAGCTACTATATTAGAACAACATCATGAGCTTAGGCACACAGTACAGTCTGAAAACAATCCAGCTGCCTCAGACCAATCAGCAGCATGTGTGGTGTGTGCTCTGTGAATGTGTATGCGCTTTAAGTGCTTTGTTCTGTAAGACTGGAAAAGAGCTACTGTATTAAAGTTTAGCCTATTTAAAGCCCAAATCTTTCTTCAGGGTCTCAGTGGGGCATTTTCATTGGGTTATAAGTGTGGACTGCAGATAGGCACTCAAACACTTTGACTTTGGAGGCACTGTTAGAACAATGACAGCATTACAAACTACATCTGCTGTTGAAAGCAGTGTGATATGGATTGGAACAAGTCAGTAAGTGGTCCCAGACCAGTGATTTTTTTTAGCTTCTTTGCAATCTCACACCTCCTTCCCTCTTTTATTTCTCTCTTTCATCCCTGCGCCTCTCTTTGTGTCCCACTCTATATTTTGCGTCTCTTACACAGGTGAGCTGTCACACCTCTTGCTCTCAGCACCTTGCAATTACCCCCTCCGCTCTTCAACACTCACACATACACCTAAATGCCCCTTGGCATGCAAGATAGAAGATAACGCTGCTTTTCGAGCACACAGACACTGAAGAACGAGAACTTCCGAGGATAGCAGAAGCTAATATGTAGTTCAGAGGTTAAAATAGAAACTGTGGTGGAACAAAATGACCAAACTAAGTCAGCAAGTCTTTGTGGTGATCGCACATTTTGTTTTCTTTTCTCTGGCTGATCATCGGGATGGGTAAGAGTTTTCTGAAAGTATTTCTATTTGAAGGAAATTTGAATTTGTTAAACTTGCTAAATTTGTTAAAAAACATGCAGATTTTTTTCAGTTTTCCCTAAAGCTGGTAAAAGTGAACGTAATACCATAAGAATATTGTAAAAGCCTTTTTAAAAAAGTAATGGTTGTGACTCTTTCTTCCTGTACAGTGTGAACATCTTAAATTAATCCAGTTGCTTTGTATTAGATCATTTAATAGCCTGTTAACATGAAGATTTAAGAGCAGCTACAAATGCAGCTCACATGGTGATCCTGCAGGCAATTGAGTTTTAATACACATTTGCCGATGAAAGCAAATAATAAGGGAGAAATTGTGATTGTATAGAATAGAAAGACTTTTTTGTTAAAGACTCGGGATGAGGAAAGTGTTTCATAAGTAGTTACAGTGTACAGATGCTTTAAATAGGCAGCAGTATGCTTGACAGATCCAATAAAAAATAAACAGATGGGCATGGTTGAAGTAATATGGAATCAAAGATGTAGAAAAAACAAAGCCACGTGATTAAAAATAATTGAGCTTTTTCTTTTGCTAATAGTATGAGTCTGGGTGTATATGAAACTGTAGAAAGGTCTGACAAGAGTTACAACCAATGTTCCCTCTAATTTTTCATGTGTCTGAGCAAACACACAAACTCCCTGCGCGGTCCCTTGGACCACTGTGAACAACAGCAGACGTGTGCACTGTGGTCACGCCAGCATCGAATCCATCCAAGTTACATGGTTTATTAAAAGAATCAAATTACAGCATTTACATTTATGTTAGACTACTTATAATTAACTGCTTTAGCCCACTTACAATGAAAATTTAAAAACAAAAAATCTGTGTAGTATGTTAACACTATTGGAAGTAAAAATAACTTGAACTCCAATTTTGAAAACACAACTTTAATTATTTATTCATTTATTTATTTGCTCTGACTTGTATTATGAGTGTGAGTCTGTGGTCTGGGTGAGAGTCCTGTAACTCTCTGTCTGCAAAATACAGTATATAATGACCAACGTTGGGCAATTCATTATATAGTTACTTCTTCAAAAAAGTAATTGAGTTATGCAAACAACAAAGTTTTTTGCAGCTGCTTACCTAAAAATGCAGCCAAGGCATTTTTTTAAATAAACATTTCAAACTATTTACAGAACAATCAGCTGTTCTGCATCAAATTTGATTATTATTATTTGTGCCACTCCAAAAAATAATTTCTGTCCACTATGAGATAAAGGAGAACAACAGCCTGATACCTGCAGGCACCTGTAACATTCAGCAGTCGCCTCACTGTTCTGACACACACAACAAAACTATTGACTACACTACACACTAACTACACAAGATTTGCGCTAAACGTCGCAAATCTCTCACATCTCAAAACACCACCGTCACTCCTAAAACTTCCCCCTTCCTAAACAACTAAATGCCATGTTGCCATATCATTTTTTGATTGGTCCACAGAGTACATTTTTCCGCCAATAGGGTGGAGGGGTGTGTGTGTATGGAGAGTGCTTTCAAGCATTTTCCTTATAAAACGCTGTTTTTACGGTTTCTTCCCGCAGTAAATATAAACAACGATAGTATTCAGTAAGAAAACCAAACATTGCATATATTTTTATCCTAACTCTGGTTTTCGTGGCCTATCAACACAATTTAAAAACTGTTATAAAGTCCACACTTTCCCCGTCAATTGTTCTGTCTGTCCTGCTCACATCTCCAATAGTTGTACATGTTGTCATTACCGTGGCTTCCCTCCACATCAGCCGTGCCGCTTTGCTAGCTAAAACACCGGTGTCGGCACTTAAGGACGCTGTCATAGCCTGTCGACGTTGATCAGCTGCGTATATACGAATGTGAATCACATCAGGGGCTGGACTATGGGATAAGGTGGCATCGTTCTAATCCCATACTGCAGCAGCCAGTCACTTACTGACTAACACTGCAAAACAGAATTGTTAACGTATTTATTTTAATTTCAATTCAGGTTAGATTGTTTTTTTATGTGCGCAACACAGATTTTCTGTGCGCAGAGACCATGCCAACACTGCACAATTGAGCATGCACGCAGCTTAGAGCGAACATTGGTTACAACTGATTTAAAGTGTGGGGGATTCATATATAGAAGAGTAGAAAAATCCAAATACAAGTAAAAGATATCATGAAGATTTTGAGACAACATAGACTTTTTAAATTTAGTTTTGACTGAGTGAAGAAGTTGTTAAAGTAAAAGCTAAACTAACCTTTGGTTAATGCTGAATATTCTGTTGTTATGGCAACCTTTTTGTTCACCATTTTGCATGCTAACCTAGCTAGCAACCTACCTACCTAGCTAGCCCTTATTTAAAACTGACCTTCTACAAAGTGTTACTGCTCCGCAGACTTCTTGGTGACACCTCCAGTAACTTTGGGTTAATGAGACGCTTCTAAATCTGTCTAAAGGTATGGAGGTTTTGCACACACGTGTCCATCTGATGCTAACTGCGCCGCCAATTTGAAGGTCTGTCAATTATCATGATATGTACAGTCAAGTGATTAAGAATATGCTGACTTCTTTACAAACACTTGCAAACTACTCTCTGAGGATACTAAAACTGTGAGACCCTTGGCCTTCAAAATAAAAGTTGCACTATTTGAAACATATTGACTGTAGCACTAAGGCACAACTTTTAGTTTGAAGGTGAGCAGTCTCCCATTTCCATTGCACTTTTTCAAGTTTTACTCAAACCTGGTTAGTAGAGAAGTTAGAGTAGATCTTAAGTAGATAGTAAGTGCATCTAATTAATCGAATTTAGAATCTTATTAAGAATTTTGGTGATTTTAGCCCCGAAGAGTTTTTTTTTAACCCTTAAGGTTATATTTCTGGTCAAGTGCAAAGTAATTAATTTTTTTAGTTTAATTTTAGTTTTAGTTATACAGTACCAAATCACAGTTTCCTTGAGGCACTTTATACTGTAAGGTAAAGACCCTAAAATAATGCAGAGGAAACAAGGGAACCCCCAACAATCAGGTGACCCCATATGAGCAAGCACTTTGGCGACTGTGGGAAGAAAAAACTCCCTTTTAACAGGAAGAAATCTCCAGCAGAATAAGGCTCAGGGCGTGACCAGTTGGGGGTGAACAAAGGAAGATGGGACAAAAAATACACTGTGAAGGAGAGCCACAGATTAATAATAACAAATGATTAAGTGAGTCAAAAAGGTGAGTGAAGAAGAAAAAAGTAACAAAACAATGAAAATGTTTCTTGCTCTTTGCACTAAAACACTTATAAATATAATAAATATAACGCATGCTACTGTAACCCAAAACAGCAGTAAGCACACTTATTCTGCAACCTTAGTATTATTATACATTACACAGGTCCTGTAGTTGTAATATGTAGATGGACAACTCAAATGATGCCTAAATTAATCAAATTATTAATTTAGCAGATGAACCAAAAATATTGTCTTGCTTTTGTTTTGGCTTTGTGTTGTTCTGCAGTACCATCAGTGAACACTGGGAAACATCTGTATTAAGACTGAACGTCAACTCCGTTTCCAGCTTACTGTGATTTATGTTCATCCCTGCTTGTGATGTGATCTCAGAACTAATCTGGAATTTATTTATTTCTGTTACTTCCCTTCTTCTGTCTTCTCTTTTTCTTCTTGTCTCTGGGTGTTTATGAAACAGATTTCCCAAGAGCATTTCTATTTTTATTGTTTGCAAAAGTGAAGACATTTTCAGCTTACGCGGTTACTTCTTTGTCCTTGTATGTCCTATCTGAGAAAGAGCCGATCTCATGTCCAAAATCACACCCTATTTATTATACAGTGCATTATTTCTACCTTACGCTGATTTCAGCATAAGTAGGATAATCTATCTTACTTCATCTCTTTCACATTTAAATATCATTTTTTGTGTGTGGTTTGTCTAATATTATGGTCTCTGTCTCACAACTGCTTCTGGGAAAACCATCAAAGGGCAAATAGCTGTAAAACTTTATTGGTGATTAATTGCACTGCTTACCTCCCAGCCATAAGAGGGGCTTTGTGCTAAAGCCCTGGAGGTCTGGTGATGATTAATAATCAGATAACCTCTTGTCCCAGCCTCCACAGGCCAGTGGAGGATGAACCGGAGCAAAGTCGGGGTCTCTGCAGCTATGGTCAGATGACTTCCTGCTGTTTTGGATGGAAGAATATTAACAGCATTTGTGAGCGTAAGTCGTTCTGCAGTTCAATAATGCAACAGCCCCAATCATCCAGCTCCTGAGGTCACTTATGAGCTCAGGGGAGAAAGAAATGTGAGATATTATGACACATACTTTATAATAAGCTGTAACAACCTGAAAGACAGCATTGCTCTTGAGACATTTTTCTGATATTAATTAAATGTGTATATTTTTTATATTTACATTTAAAGCTGTATGTAAAATGCAAAATGTATGCTGAGAGTTAACTATTTCCCTTGGTTTTATGAGGTGCTTCAGTTTCTTTCACATAATTTATGGCTCTATTAGTCTAGTATTATTAGCTCTGTTTCAAGATGCAGGAAAAAACACCTCACAATTCATTCCGATAATTTTATCAGCAGTCACATCACCAATAAACACTAGTGACTCGCCTCCACTGGCAGTCGTACATGCCTATGCTGATGATGATGTGATATGCTTTGGCATGATCGAGTTTCTCTCTTCGTGTCATTCTGGTACAAGTTAATCTTGAATTGTAGAGATTTTTTTTCCCCAGAACTTTGCAGGCTCTTTTAGACGTTTCCTGGGAAACTCTAATCTGGCCTTATTGTTCTAGAGTGTAACCAGTGGTTTGCACCTTGTTGTGTATGTACATTGATGAAGGCGCCTTTTGATTGAAGAACTCCTCGATACCATTCTTGAGATGGTTAGATGTCATGACGTAGTTTTACTTAACCATAGAAATAATTCTGCATTCAATCGCATTCGTGTTCCTCTTTGATGTTTCAGGCCTTTTATTGTGGCTGAGCTGGTCAGTGCTTTCATTGTTTGTAAAAATGGAGCAGATTATTGATTGTGCCACTTTAATAGGTTGATTTTGTTTTTTCTAATCATGACCTACCTCTCTTGTACTGACATGTCTTTTGTGCTCATATTGACATTTCCACTTGGAAGCAGCCAAAGATCTTTTATCTGCTTAATTTGTAATTAAATAATGAGAGCCCCTGGCTATGAAACTTCTTGTCAGTCATTTGTCTTAACACTTTTGAGCCTCTAAAAATGGCGAACTGTGCATACAAATGTCTGTAATTCCTAAATAGTTAATGCAATGTGTTTTGTGAAATCCCTTGAAAGTCGCCACTTCAATCAAATCTTGATTGTTTGATTTAAAATTGTCTGTGCTGAGCCTAAGTATAAGTATAGTTACTACATAAAGGAAGAATATAGCCACTGTGACATTACCCTTTGTTTTCCAGACTACTGTTTGACAATATTTGGATGAGAACTAACTTTATTAACTGCCCTAATATATAAACAAATAATGATAGAATTGTATTATTTCTTCTTAAGTTGTCTCTTAGTACAGTTAACCACAGTGTAAGCCATACTATGTCAGATAATTGCATCAAAAATGACCCAGAAGGCACCGCTATGAGACAAAGCTTCATTCAGTGAGTGTAACCAGCTGAGCTGGAGGTCCTCACCCATAGACACCTGTTTAAACACCTGTTTTAGCACACATTATTGTCATCAGGTTTAATCATTAATGCAGTTTAAACTATTCAGTTATATAAATATTTAGCTTGCTAACATGGCTCACATTAAGTTTTTCTCCATTACCCTGTGCACGCTTTACATGCTGTTTTATGTAGCTCATACCAGTGTGCAGAAGTTACATTGTGTCTGTTGTTGTCCGCAGCGGTGTGCAAGAGGTCCTGCATAAATGGGAAATGTGTGGGACCGGACAAGTGTTCATGCTCCATGGGATATAAAGGACCGCAGTGCAATGAAGGTGGAGTATCATTTACAAAATCGTTGTCTGTCTTATGTTTTTGATTTCTTAACCATTACCTGCGTCATTCTGCATCATTTACCACAAGGATTTCTATCTACCGCTTGAATAATGTTTCATATTGACTCCAGATGTGAATGAGTGCGGTTTGCCGGAGAGGCCGTGTTCCCAGCGCTGCATGAATACGCACGGTAGCTATCGCTGTTACTGTGAACCTGGATACACACTCAGTGCAGATGGATACACCTGCACCAGTGAGTAATTTCCTGTGGAGGGGAATGCTTAAAATCCACATTAAGAAAAGCCTGCGTGCTGGCAGATTATATTTCTCTCCGATCAGTTTTCTACAAAAAGCTTTCCACCGTCTTCATACCATAATAGGAGGTTAAAGTGTCCGAGGACTCAGCTTACACGTCCTTTTAGCCTCGCATAAATGTTTATGGCTGAAATTTACAGTTTATATTATGGAAAGTGATATCATAACAAACCTTGGCGGTGACAGGGTCAAGAGCAAAGAGCATAAATTAGTGATTCATGTAAGATTTTAGTTTTTAAGGAGCATTCAGTTATCGTTTCTGTTTACAGCTTCATTACTGGTCTGAGTGTTGCAGAGCATGCGCTCGTGTACTGTGTGGTGGCATGACAGTGTGTGTGACCCTCTGACCGATCCTCAGCCAGTGTTTCCCTGTCTGTCTTCCAGGAGAGGCCGCATGTTCCTCCCTGCACTGCCAGTTTGGTTGCCAGATGGAGAGAGGGGGAGCGCCGCGCTGTCTGTGTCCCCCCGGCCTCCACCTGGCTGCTGACAACAAGACCTGTGAAGGTAGTGCCTCCTTAGAAACACCCTCAGTATGTCACCCCGTTTAGATTCTAACTTTTCACAGTTTTTATTCACCCGATAATCAGACCGGTAACTGTTCAAATCTGTATTTTATTTTTTTAATTTACCCATGCAGTAAATATCATCAACAGGTCTTTACAGAATGTGTTTTAATCACACTGCTACTCTAGAAAAATATGTTTGATTCATTAACAATTATAGACCTACTTCTAATCGTTCTTTCCTCAGCAAAATATCAGAACTTTTTCGCTTTTTTGCCTTTGATACTGTTGGTCATGACATTTTAATTTAATTTTAATTTAAGGCTTAGGTTTGGTTTAGGTCAAGGGTCTGTTCTTGGTCCATTACTCTTTAACCTTTACCTTTGACCTCTACATGCTAACACCTGGTACTTTTATATAAAAAAAAAATCACATATTCTATCATTCTTATGCAGATGATACACAAATGCACGTATTGTTTTCCTCTGATGATCTAACCAGTTTTCAAAAATTAATAAGCTGCACTGATGACATTAACAGCTGGATGTCTGATTAGATGATTAGAACTGAACAGAGATGAGAGAGAAATATTTGTTGTTGGTCTAAAAAGTCAGAGGCAGAACATTTGTTCATATTTATCCCCCATTTCTCTGAAACACAGCCAGTCAGAAACCTTGGCGTCATTTTGGACATGGAAATTTGAACATCAGTATTGAAGTCACACCATCTCAGTTTAGATAATCATATGAATAAGGTCACCAGGACTGCTTTTTATCACTTAAAAATATGTCAAAAATAAGAAAATTCTCATTTCAAACTGAGAAATTGGTCCATGCATTCATGTTTAGCAGGTTTTGCAAGCTCCTCCAAATTATCAGTAAGTTGACTTCAGCTTGGTCAGAATGCAGCAGCCTTTACGGGTACATGCAAATTTGAACATATTACCTCTGCTCACTTTGTGGGATCCAAGTTCAAAATAGTTTTACCTTTAAAACCCTTCTATTAGTTCATAAAATACTTAATGGTTTGTGCAAATCTTTCAAGTATTCCCAGAATTCCCAGATCTTCATGAGCTGAGGTGCTCTCAGTTGCTGTCGTCCT